TAGTACAGAAGAATTCTCTTTCTTTTTTTGGATGCGTGCCGTGTGTTTTGCATCTCTGTGCATGCTTAGCACGGAACGGGAACCCTTTTTGTATCCTTTTTCGTATCTCTGTCGATCTTCTCTCGTTATCAGCGTCCCTAATTTCTGAAATTCAGCATTAAAAAACCCAAAATTCTAGGTACATATGATATTTTAACGCAGCTTACCTTCATTAACGTTTACTCATCAAGGTCAAGGTCAAGGTCAAGGGATTAGAGAATATTCCTAGGGCATTGCTTGATGGAGTCGTGATTCTCTTTCTAAGAAATAATAACTTTACTTAACGTTAGCACTACCTATTATTGATGTATTACAATCCATCCGAATAAAGAAATTAATTTACTGTAAATTCCTGTATAAATACGTCTCGCGTAGCATCTAGAATGAATTTTATTTAAAAAAATATGATCTCGAAATTCAGCACCAAATACTCGAAATTCAGTACCAAATACTCGAAATCCAGTATCAAACATTCAAAATCCTAAACTACTGGGATTCTTTATCAAGCTGGACAGTGATAGAAGTAATCGTTCTTTCGTAGTGCCAGATTTATCGAAGCTTTGTCTGACATTCCGAATATTGCATTACAGTCAGACCCCGATAATATCAACACCACGTTGTTAGCGCAGAACAGATTTCAAATGATACTAAATTATATATTAACTCAACCTCGTAGTTATCAACCCATATAAGTGCAATGGATTCCTAAGAAAGTAAATATTGTTAAAAAATTGTTTCTTTTTAGATGATAAACAATATTAATATAACATCTATTTACCCTCTGTTAGCCTCTATTTGGTAAAGACTTCGTAAACCAGATTCCGGTACACAGATTCACCATGTATGTATCAACAAAATAGCCCGGTCCCATTATGTTGATAACAGCGAGGGAAGACTGCAATTATTTCTATTAGAAGTAAGTAATAAGATTGCTTCTCTGACTAAAGAACATACTTGCATCTAAATACTGTAGTAATTAGATTAGTTGACAATCAAATAATGTAATTTATATTTACTAATGATACCTTCACAGATGATGTAATTCCGTGTGATATTTTCAATCACTGTGATAGACTCAAATCATCCGTGAAGATATCTTCAGAAATATCATGAGCGTTAGTCTCCGTGAGATAAATCAGATATCACACGGATCAGTCTCGATATCATCATCAACACCGCGTTGATGATATTTTGTTTGAAAAGTATGCAAGCAGATCTCTTGATAGTTAATGTCGTCATTGATATTTAGCGAAGATAGTAAATGTAAATAGATTATACTTCTTAAGTATCCAATAGAAATTACAGTAAAATAATAGTTTCGGTCGACGTAACTAATTCTCCCTGTGGAAAATAAAGAAGGTGGTGATATTGAAAAACGACGGATGAGGGAAAAGCTATTAAATAATATCGGATTCATTTAGTTCTTGTGGTAGCTGGTGAGTCTAATTCTTGTATATATAAGCAAATTCAAATTCTAATTCTAATTCTAAATTCATTTATTTCATCTTTGAAACTACATCAAGTTGAAGATGTCATTAAATTAATAAATATAAAAATTTATTTATACTTACTTCATAATTTGAAGTAAAACTGTATAATTTTAGATAAAATGGTATGTGATTTATTAATCAAAGAGACAATGTATCACTGAATTCTTCAGCTTTTAATAAATAAAAAGGCGTTAAAACTTTCATTAATGAATGGTGTTATTGAATAATCTACTTTTTAATTGCATATATCATTCTTGTAAATAATATTTCACAGTAGTAACCAAAAGTTTTGCATCTAAATGACGAATGTTAAAAATCAATAATATTATATCATTCTTCTTAACCAGTTCAAATGGTAATCAAAACAATAATTTCTCTAATGATAATAAGAAGAAAACTTTATTGTTTTCAATTATTCAAAAGGCAGTGATAATAATAATAAAAAAATGATTGACAAAATTTTACAAAAATATGAATTAAACTTGTTTTATTTGAAAATCTTGATAAATATATAATGCAAGACTCTTATTTTAGATTTTTATATAAATTAAAATTATATAATAACAAATCATATTAGATTTTGAATTTAATATAAAATTATTCAATTTTAAATTAAACCAAAAATTTTTATTTTTAATAAATTTACAAGTACTTTTTTTATATATATCATAATTAAAAATAAATTCTAAAATTAATAATATATTTTAAATAAAATTTTGAATAATATAACTAAAATTTGAATAAGATATTTGTTAAAATCTTTTAATAATTATCAAAACTTTGCTAAAATTATAATTAATTATTAATAAATAAAATACTAAAACTTCATCAAGTTTTAAAATTCATTATAATAAAAATTTTATTAAATTTTAATTAATAATTAATATATAATTTACTAAAATTTTACTAAAATATTTTTAAAAAAATTTTAATAAATATTTTTAAATTTGAATATTATATAAAAATTATTAAAATTATATTTTGTTACTATTTTAATTTTTAAAATATTTATATTATTTAAAAAATATTCAAAGAGAACTTTCAATATCTTAATAATAATTCAAAATATTAATAATATTTTATAATTATTAAATTAAATATTAAATAAGTACTAAAAGTATTAGTAATAAAATTACTTAAAAATTGATAACAGTTTATATTTTTTAATATAATAATCTAAATAGCTAAAAAATATTCTCAAAATCTCAAAATCAAAGATATAGAGATAATAATATTGTCACTATTTGATATTTTAAATCATATATAAAATATTATATAATCTAATTTTGATAATTATTTATATTTCCTTTTATATTTTTCTATTTATAATTTTATTTTTAATTATTTAATTTATTTAA